AAAAAAAAAACCCATAACATCCGATAAGAAAAAAAAAGTAGGTAAAATCTTTACTAAAATAAAAAAGGCTTTATTTATTATCTAATTGCATGGAAATCTGTTCTGATGTTGTTCACACCGATTTCTGTATATTCAGTTTCAGATTTTCTAATAAAAATATTAACAACAATATATATCTACTCTGCACATTATAAATTACAAATCTCAAAATATCGAGCCATCAACTTCCTCACTGTCAACCTCCTGCGAACAAAAGATATCCTCAATCAGTCTTCTATTCAAAACAATGAATCAAGGATTTGGGTTAATCAAACAAGTCAATAGGTCTAATAGTCCTATGCTCAAAGTTCGAATTGTGAGAATGTTTTTCCAAGACTGGGGCAACACATACAAATCATATCTCGAGTTGGTTCTGCATGATAAAACTGTAAGCCAAATTATTTGAATTTTTGTTTTATATTCAAAATTTGAAACGTATATTTTTTTCATGTATGTATTTAGATATTTTTGTACATGTTTAGTGAAATATATTTTCGATTATTTTTTAAATTTAGATTTGCAATTTGTTGGCTTATTTATTCTACATATCGTGTATGTATTTAGATATTTACATTGTTTATATTTATTTTTGTGTATTGTAAAACTTTTATTGAATATTGCATCTTATAGTACAATAATCCCCAAATAAATATATTTCGTGCCTCGCACAAGTCACGTACTATATATATCCCGTGTATTTTTCTTAATTTATTTATATAATTATAAGGCTGGATAAATAGCCTTAAAATTGTGTACCCCGTCCATCGCACGGACTCTGTACTAGTAGAAAGAAAGATTAGTGGAAATTACACAACCGCATCCAAATTATAAATCAACAAATAAATTAAAAAAAAAAACAAAAAAAACAAACACAAAAACAAGGCAACTTTCTTCTGATTCCATACGCTCTTCCTTCCACTTGTCCAATAATAATAATATTCTAATAACTGCTCCCTTTTTTTTGTTCTTGGGAATAATAATCATATATTCTAATGACTGCCCCTTCTCATTTTCATTAGAAAAATGAAAAAGAAAGGAAGGGATAATGCTCAAGTCTCAAGACATATAATTGTGATGTTATATTTTGACATATCTGATAATACGACCAACGAACATAAATAAAAATAGAAAGATGTCAACTTGCGATGTTCCCGTCAATGCTAAGGGTATTATTACGTGTCTCCTAAGCTTTACCTTTCACATGAAAACTCCCATAAATTTAGACCACCCAAAAATCAAATAAATTAAACACATTACACTACATTGACTACAAATTTTCAGTTTGTGATTATGATACAAACTCTTAAAAAAAAAAAAAAAAAGAGTCGTTATCAATTACAGTTATTAGTTAGCATTTTCACCTATCCAACCCTATTAATTAATTATTTATTTATTTTTATTTTTTTTTAGCCAACCATGATATTCGAAGCTTTATTCGACTAATCTGTTGGTCGATCGCAAACCTGACAATGGTAGGTGAGTCTCCCCGATCGCAAACCTGACAATGGTAGGTGAGTCTCCCAACAAGAGTTTTCTGCATTCACAATGACTCGAACCCCAAACCTTGTTTAAGACACATCAATCTGCTTACTACTTGGTCAACAACTCAAGTACTCAACTACTAATTAGAAGAAAAAGAAAAAGTAAAAAAAATAAAGTTACAATCAGTTTTGTTATGAAACTAACAGTTGATTCGATTCCATATTGAAATCAACTTTCTATATACAACAAATAAATCATATCATATTCTTCGATTAATTAAATAAATACTAGTAATTTTATTAATATAGAATGATTTATCTATTGTATATAGAAATTTTGTTCCACTATGAAGCCAACTGTTGGTTTCATATCAAAATTTCACGTACAATATCCCGCATAGAAACTGAATGATATACATCGTTAGTATCAATATTTCTATATCTAAAGTTTCACCAAAGCATTGAATACTGCATTACAAAAATTCTATGGAGCAATCGGATTGTTTTCTTATGGAGTCATTCATTGCTTAATATATTGACACCTGTCCAAATTGTATTTATTGTAAGACACGTGTCAATACACTATTGATGAATAAGTGTGGATTGCTCCATAAGCCGAGCCATCCGATTGCTCCATAGCAAAACTGTACATCATTAATATCAATATTTCTATATCTAAAGTTTCACCAAAGCTGCGTGTAATAAATAATATCCAAACAACTTTTAAAAGCCCCAAATTATACAACCCGTATAATCAATCAACTCTTGAAACCCTCTTCTAATGATATTATATTTATGTACATATTATATCAGAAGGGGGCACGGTGGGGTATGCCTTTTCTCCGTCTCGAGTTAAAGTGGTTGAACAAAGGAGGAGTTGGTGGAGACAGATTGCCCGAGACCTCATCTCCCGAGCTACTCGAACTGAATGATGTTGTGAGTCGACCCACGAACAATGCATTCCCTCTATGAAACTTTTTCGGGGTCCAAACCTCAAACGACTCGCACTCGTCCCGCTTGTGTTTGCCCTTCACAAGAAATGAGAGCTCCACATCACCTCTCTCCATGCCACTCAGCTGTTAATTTAAGCAAAAATTAAATTATGATATTACAAAATTGAGGCCCGGTCGAATAGTAAGACGATGCTTCCAATAAGTGAGCAAAAGTCAAACAATCGGTGTACTAATTTGAGGTGGGGAAATTAGATTACACTGCAGAATGGACGTTTGAACAATTCAATTCCAAGGTAGAAACCAAATGGGAAAGAAAATGGCACCAAACAAACGAGTCGTACACAACCGATTCAAGACTAATAATTAATGTCACCACCAAGCATCGTTTTTTTTTTTTTTTTTTTTTTTT